GGGTTGAGCAGGGTGGGGGGAATATATAGGTTTTATTATTTGTATGTTCTTGTCACTGCTTTTATAAGTTGCCCAAAATTATGGCAAATAGGATAGGTGATCATGTAAATTTTTAAGATACAGATAATCAGAGTTGGAAGGGACGTTATAGGTCATCTAGTCCAACCACCCTTTCTGACAAATGGCACTCCAATCTCTTCTTCAAAGTCTCAAGTGATGGCGCTCCCTCAACTTCCGAGGGCAAGCTGTTCCATTGGTTGATTGTTCTCACTAAATTTGAAGGTTATAGATCTTAACCATATAGTAATGTGAAATTATGTACATAGTGTCATTAGATGGATGAGGTAAGCAAAGAATCAAAACAAAAGATTACACTAATAAAAAGCAGTATATTACACATGTATTATACTACAGTAGGAAAAAAAATGAACTGAATATAATGTCTGATCAATGAGATCTGGTAGTGGTGAAAGAGCAAATAATTAATAAACTAGTTTGGCCTAGCAGGAATGACTTGAGAAAAGCCTCAATGCTTAACCTAATGCTTGAGAATAAAATAGAACTTTCTAAGGAACTAAAACTGCAAACTCGGGACTTTTGTACCAGAGGAGAGGAAACTGACCCCTTGTCAATTCTGTGTTACTCAAGGTTGCTGACTAAACAAATCAAAGACTAAAAATGCTAGATCGCTACAGATATGGATTTGGCTGGGTTATGACATGGAAGGGTTATACTGTCCTTTTTCCTGTAATAAATCCATTATATAAGATTTGTCTTGGCACTCTCTCAGAGGGTAGAACCTTGTACTCTATCCCTTGCATAGATCAATAAACTTGGCTCAAGCAGTTCATGTAGACTCTACTCAACTTGGAGATGGTATGAGTTAAAAGAATGCTCGCATAATAGCCAGTATGAACAATCCCAATGTTTTATACATGTTCATAACATCATCCCAACACATGGAATGGACTATATTAGTTTTATAATAATCTCTCTGGAAACTGCATCTACAGAGTATGTACAATTACTGAAGAAAACAATATGAATCTCTATAGCATACAGACAGCTAGGCAAGGCCTCTTCAAGAAATAGTCATAAATGAACAGGATAATATAAGAGAAGGCTGGCCTTTGACAGCTCCAGACCTAATAGACCATAGCTAGCACTGCAAAAACTACAATAATAACTTCAGAAATATATAAATTTTCAGAATTTAAAATGGGGAATGTACAAAAGCTATACTATAGCTTTTTGCATTAGGTAGCACTTCAGAAACATTTTCTATTATGTTTCAGTAAACAACTCAAGCTGCAACAGTGATAGAAAAAGTGGCTGGGTTATATTAATTCATACCTGAAATTTTCTTCTTGTAATTGTTCTAGTTGTAACTGTGCATGAAAATACTTTTTGGCAACTGCTGTGTTTGTATCATCAAATGAACCATCTAACTGATCCAATCGGTCATTCATTATCTCATTTTCAGACATTAAACTGCATTTTTCCTCTTGAAGGGCAGCCACCTAAAGATCCAGAATCCATTTCAGAATAATAAAGTCATCAAGATCATTAACAGTGTGTAATTATTCAAATATTGGCACAAGGGGTTTTTATCTCAGAAAAAAAAGTGACTAACCTCCAGTCAAATTATCTGCTTCCTAAATTAAACATATATTTAATACAGATTAGCAGATAAGCACAAAAATGATTGCATTAATTAATGTACACTATGCAATTATATAAAATCAAGTGCAATCCTTGTTATTTCAGTATATGTATTTCCATTTCTCTGTTTCTTGCACTTCTCTCTGTGAATCCACATATAGAACCATTAGCTGCACATCATCCTCTATTTGTAGCTCTTCTGTTCTAAATCAGCAACACTTAGGACTTATATAATCAAGATTACCAGTCACAGTAACAAAACAAAATCAACACGGAAAAAGTCTTCCAGACTATTATATGCAGTGGAAAATAAGGGAAGAACTTCAAAACAGTCTTAAATGATATAAGAACTGAGCCAAGTAGACTCAGGAATGATCCAGCAAGACACCTTTCCTTTATCTGACATAAAAACACAAGAATTGTTGAATCAGATCAAAATCCACCCAGATAAAATTTCCATATTTCTGTAAAAGCAGAAAAGGGATTAAAAAGGGAAGTATTATTAGCATGTAGAAAAATGTTGGTCAGTTTATAAACTGAAGATAACAAAGCAGAGAACTAAGTAATAATAATACTTAGTAGTGAATAGTTGTGTAAAAAGCAATTCCAAGAGCCAAAACAAGTAGCATTAAGTAAAATTTAGACAGCATCACATTTATAGATCAATGGATAAAAAGATTCATGCATTTTGCAAATATTTCTGAAAATATCACAAGCTAGAAAGTAAGAGCACAATACTGTAAGTATATTAACAATCAAAGAAGGATTCTCATATTAACAAAACAGCCCCATAAGTATGTTTTGTGGTGAAAGCCACCATGTTAATTGTAATACAGCAAAACATCACAGCATATCACATGTTAGTTCACTGATATTTAAAATGCAAAGTACTCTTTGGGTTATGTCTTCCTGAAATAAATATAAACCTACCTTTCTTAAATTCTTGTAAAATATCATGGGACACAGAGACCTTACAAATGAATTTATTAACAATTAGATTAAGCAATAAGTATGTATATTTTGACTTATAAATATTTAGTATAGCACAGTGGCATTAAATTATTGTGTTGTCTTTGTCAAATGATATCAGATTTCCTAAGCTGTAAAAATGAACTGCAATCAATTATAGGTATGAATATATTCAGAATCATTAATTTATATTAATAATTGTTGTCAGGGACAAGTATTTATAGCTTACAATAGATTTACATCTTAAATATTTTAAAAAGTATTCTAAACATTGTATATTTAACGTAGAGGAAAAAGCTACAAAATATTATTTGTAAAATCTGCAATAAAACACATTCAAAATAACAGTGAAAGACTGTTGGGACATTAATTTCATAGAAAAAATTCCTTAAGTACTAAAACAATAACATGAGGAATATCGTAACTAATATAAACTTTTGGAAAACAAAGCATCAGAGTGTTTAATCACAACACAATAGAAGATGTTTTTAAGACAATCTGATTGTAGGCATTTAAGGTAGATATTAATCAATTACATTTTCTTTAATGAAATGTACTTGGAAAAATATAGTTACCTGCAAATCTAGTTCTTGACATCTTTGCTTCAATTCTTCTTTTTCTGCAATGACTTCATTAAGTTCTTCCATTGCTCTTTTCAGCTTTAAAAATGTTGAGATGATAATTTTCAAACATTTAGAAAAACAAATTTCTTGACCTTATGTCCAATAAATGTGAAATGTACTTATGGGTATTCAGGACAAAAAAAATGTTGATTAAATAGAAGGCAAGTTGGTAATGATCATACCTTCTAAATAATCATATTTGTCTCTGTCATATACTTTCCTGGTCCTTGGAACCTCTTTCTTATGATCTTATTCTTTAAAATAATCAAAATATTACTATCTCTGCAAAATGTACTTCTGTTGTTGCCACCAGCAAAACCTATTTTGGTTTTAAAATGCTTTTATTTTTCATCCTACTTTTTTCTTTAAAGAACATAGCACTCCAGGTTAATAGTTAAACAAAGAGAGTAAAATAACATTTATATAAGAATGCAATTGGTTTATAAAATATATAAACCACTTTTTAATAATAAATCTATATTCCCTTAAATATTATCTTACAGAGATACTAAATATATTTCTAAATCTGTGTTGCTGCAAGATGGACATTTAGGACTCCCAGCCTCCCCCTGACCTATCTTTCTACCTCAGTGCCCCTTCTCTCCTTGTTACACTTTCTCTTTCAAACATAAGTTGGGATGAGTTATTATCATGCTGAGATCAAAAGTCGCGGCAGCCTCCTATGAAAATGTTAACATAAAATCAACTTATTCCCTTAATAAATACATTTTCTCTTTTTTTCTTCCTCTCTCTCTCTCTCACTGCTGAACCATCAAACATAATGGATTGTGACAGATTTGGGGGAAAAAATTAGGTGATCTGTATTACACAACAGAATGTTTCTTCCAGTACTTGTGTCCTATCAGGTTTCCAGAAATGAAAAAGTACATACAATGATAAATTCATTAACTAGACTTTCATCAGAAATTACAGGAAAAGATTACTAAAAGCTAAAAAGATAGTGTTATCAGTTACCTGTTGCTCCACATCACTGGATATATCACTTGCAACAAAGCCCAAAATCTCTTTGCTCATTAACTGCAACAATAAAAAATTAAGGCAGAATTCTTAATTATGCATGGTCTAAAACAGGTTCATAAGAGATTAGCTGATATTATTTTCCTTAAAATATATGAAATAATCCATATTCAATACGCATTTCACATTTTTTCACACATGCCTTTTCACTGCCAATTTAAATAACTATCATTACATAATTTAAACAAACATATGTACATATGAAACACTAGAATCCACAAATATTTGAGTAATATTAGTTGTCTTATCTCTACTGCAACACTAGATAACTCCAACTCCCCCCCCCTTTTTTAAGGAATCAATTCCAATTTTTCTGTTAACTCTTTTTTTCTTACCTCTTGGATAGCAGCCATGACGACGTGCTGAACAGACTCCTCTAGTGTCATTATAACTTGTATATGTTCTACAAAGCAAGAGTTTTTTT